TTTTGTAAGCATGCCTTTTGAATTCATGTGTGCGTCGACTCGACTCAAGCCCCGCCGCCAAAAAAAACCCTAAACCCTAAACCCTAAACCCTAAACCCTAAACCCTAAACCCTAAACCCTAAACCGTTAGCTTTTTTTTTGCGGCTCTGGGCTCTGGGCCATGGAGACTTCGGGTTTGGAGGTGAACTTACGGCTGGGAGGCTGCTTGGGTTGAGGGTTTAGGGTTTAGGGTTAGTATAGCATGACAACAAACGCTTTCACTGTTGATTCACAGATCCCGGATGCGCACACCTTTTCCAATTGCTTTCGCATCGGTGGCGTGTTCTGCGCTTCGGACTCCCTTCGGAGTCCTGATCGGGGTATCTCGAATATATCAACCACATCTCATACAGACATGTTCATTGCGAGATCTAGAGGACCGACCGTTTCCGGTCGGTGCTCACAGAATGAAAGCAGAGGTAAATGGACCTTACTAAAGTGGGTTAGGGAGTGCGGGAGAAGAAAAGTCCGAGTTCGATACTTATAGCAAAATGGCCACGGAATGTATCAAGCTCGAGGTGACCGACTCATGAAGATCCTCGGCGTCGATCGGTGAATGATGAAAGCATCACTTCGCGCACAAGTGTGCTACACATAAAGGCTGCAATAACTATTTTCACAGGGTTTCGGGGTAGATTATCAGTGTAGATGATGAAGCCTGGGGCAAGACAGCAATTTTGGCATTTGTTCAAGCTTCTTACTTCTGGGACTCATCTCCGTTGCGGTGGGAAGTAGGAGCCGGGGCGCAGAACCTATGCCGCCTGAATGCAACACAACATAGCGGTCTATCACCCAAATTTTGCACCAATACCAGTCAGATCCTTGATGTAAGGGCACTAGAACACACCATCAATTCTGAATTTCGAAATCCTTCGCATTAATTAAACTGCCTAAACCTTAACCCTTATTTACCAAGGTGAAACTTTGCACGCAAAGCCGGGGCACAGCGCCAGCACTGCGTCGCTGGTGCGGCCGCCATCCCGGCTGAGGAACCTAATGTAGGGGCCTTAATAATTAGAATGGGGTTTGGGGGTCCTTTATAGAACTTGTGGGGTTTAGGATTTGGTTTGGAAGTGCATAATATAGGGGCCTTAATAATTAGAATAGGGTTTGGGGTATATTATGCTATGATCACAAAAGGAACCCCAAAATAATCTAGGCAATTAGAATGGGGTCTTGGGGTCCTTTATAGTATAATTACAATAAGAAGCCCCCCAAAATAATATAGGTGATTATTTAGGCTTCTATATTAGCGGGTCGGACTGTGGAGTGGTTCGGGGTTTCCACGCTCACACTCGGACAATCCAGCCCCGCGGCACGTGTCTTGAGGTCGGCTGGTGTAAACACCAAAGAAACTTGAATCCGCACAACCACCCCGGCAGGGTTCAGGCATGCTCAGGTTTTAGTGCTCTTTGCATCTAGCACTCGGACATCTTATCTTCTGTCAGAACCCCCAAGGTTCACAGAGCTTGGAGCTCAAGGGATTCACATTTCTGCCCGGGCACCGCAGGGCCATGATCCGTATCGCAGGATTGCCACCAGCAGCCCCCACCACTCCCACAGCATTCCGGACCGCGGCAATGACCCCTGTGAGGGAAAAGCAGCGTTCACGAGCAAAAACTAACAAATAACAAAGTGGAATCCTGCTAGTCAGCTGTATGCTTCCGGGTAGGTCCCCATGCATAGCTCTCTCCATGTACTTTTCATCTCAAGGTCCCCCCCTTTTGCACCCATGGATCCTGCACAGTGCGTCCCGTGGCCGTCGTCATCTGACGGGTCGCCGTCCTCATCTGCAAAGTCATAGCCGTGCACGTCGTCCACAAAGCCGTTGCCATCGTCGTCCACCCCGTTGTTGGGGATTTCGCCCTCGTTCTGCCAAAGGCGACCCTGCAGGTCCTGGTGATCAACGTCTATCTATCTCTCCATGTGTATATCTGCACCTCATTGCGTGTGTGTGTGTGTGTGCGTATGTATGTATGTATGTATGTATGTATGTATGTATGCATGCATGCACGCATGGATGTTTGTACGTGTGTGTGTATGTGTGTATGTGTGTATGTGTGTATGTATGTATGTATGTATGTATGTATGTATGTATGTATGTATGTGTGTATGTGTGTATGTGTGTGTGGAGGTGTATCTACATCTACCTATAAGATACATATATATATATATGTTTATTTATTTATCTATATTTATATTTACATATAGGTATACACACATATACTTATACATATGGCTGTGTATATATATATATATATACGCACACATGAACATGCATGTATGTGCACGCAACCAGACACATGTCGGTGCCGGCATGTTCACACGCACCATTGCAGAACAATCAAGACCAAGAACCAAGAACCACCTTTCAAGAGCGAAAGGCGACCGCGAGGAGACCAACACCGACCTCTTGTTCTCCGGCAGCCACAATGATATCGGAGGCGAGCAGCCGTTTACGGAAGGTTGAAGAAGTGAAACTCAGGCGGCTGCAGCCGTTGAAGCTGCAGGTGTATTCTGAATACTGAAAAGGAGATTCCCGAACACAGCCCCAGCCAAGAGTCTCACACGCCCCGGAAAACCCCCCAAATGCCCCCAGCTCAACTGTGGATCCTCGTGGTCCAGCTGGATCCCCGTATCTAGCACGGCGATGGTTACCGGCGCTGGTTCCACTTGCCTTTGCATCTCAAGCGATCTATATGTGTACATATATATATATATACATACATGTAAGTAATAAACAAGGCTGCGCTGACACGGGGACAACAACTGCTACATGATCTTAGGCCCAAACCCGCAAAACAAGAAAAGCCTAGACCCACACGTTCCCCTCAGCCACATCGCAGCCCAGCAAATCCTTGAATAACTCTGTGCGTATAAAATATACATACATACATACATACATACATACATACATACGTACGTGCGTACGTACGTACATACATACATACATACATACATACATATGTGTGTGTAGGTATATACATAAAAACTATATATATATATATATACATACATATATATAAGATGTATATATGTTATGTAAAAATCTATATTTATTTGTATACATATATATATATGTATTTATCATACATACATACATACATATATATATATATATCATTACAGTGCCAGTGTTAAAGGCCAACAGGTGTTCATCCTCACCATGCTCTTCCTCTTCCACCCAAACCCTCCTGTATGTCCGATGGAACCTCTGGCAATTCCAGCCCCGCTTCGTTTCCACCAGACGTGCACTGGGCAAAAGATCTCAGATCCATGCAGTCAGTTGTTGCTGTTGCTGTTACCTAACCTGCCATGACCTAGCTTTTGTAGCTCGTAGGGTCCACAAGTGAAGAGATAAACACTTTACACTTGTACAACGAACCCTACCACAACAATGGATGATGGTTGAGCATGGTAGGGTTTAGGCAGGTTTAAGGGGGCCTTACACCCCCGCTTCAAACCTCCACCGGGCTCTATTCTAAACCCTGAACCGATGGCTCCGGGATACATCGATTCTAGCCGGTTCCAGGCCGATTCGAAGCCGCTCCGGCGGAAGCCCCACTGCCTGGACCAGTGCGGGTCCGCGATCCTGAGCTCTCTTGCTGATCTTGGCTGACGGGTTATCACGGAACATCAGTGCGACTACTGCTACTACTACCATCACC